TTCCTGCTACATCACCAAAGTCAGCAAGTAGTTTTGTCTACCTATTTAAGGGCAACTCCATTCTTCCCTATGGCATTTGTGGTAGCCAGATTATGCATATGCCAGAACATTTTTGTAAACTGACAGCTTAAATTTAAATGCTAGAATATGCTTAAAGAATGAAGTATTACTTGGATAGTTCATAAAGTAAATACCTTGTTAAGGTGGAGGCATTTGATTTGAAATCATTAGTCCAGATTCCTAGGTACATACTCTCCAAAGGACATAAGGATTTGCTGGAATGTGTGTGGTCTTAAGACATCAGGCATGGACACAGAAAAATATTATGGAAGCAGGCATCAATATTATCTGTCGAGGAAAAGAAGCTCCAACCTCTCAGTAAATTTTCTCAGTGTCAGATATTGCTTCTAATCCAGAAGCTATGGTATATATACAACCTAAATCATTTTTGTTACAGTTTATTCTCATTTTTTGGTTCTTCTCTAGTCTTATTTGGGAAAAAAAAAAAAAAAAAAGTGGTTCATTGGATAGTCTGTACCTTTATTCCAGGAAAAATAGGCACATTTCTTTTCGTCTTTTCCTTACTGATCATATTTCAAACCAGAGTACACATACATACATATTCTACATGTACCACTAAAGTTAACTGTAGTTCACACTTAGGGATCTGATAGAAGCATTTTTATGTATTATGATGTGGAAAGGTCTCCCAGAGTGGCATTATCTTTGCGAGTTCTGAATAAGCTGAGTTCAGACACTCAGACTTGGTCTTGTCAGGGCCTGGCAGTGGTGATTAAGCTCAGGAAAGCTGATTCTCATCAAAAAGATGTACATATAGCAGCTGAAATGGTGATATCCAGTGAGTAATAAAGCTGTTAGGTGACACAGACACACATTTCTAACTAGCACATTCTTCCAGTGGGCAGATGTGCGTGGGATGCCTGCTTTTAATCTAAAGGTTACTTGTTGGAATGAAATGATGATGATGATGATGATGATGATGGTAATAAGGACTGTCCCAGCCACTGATGAACTCAACTAGGGTTATAACAACCCTCTGACCCTGGTGCTATAATTATCTCCATTTGACCAAAGAGGAAATTGAGGCACTGTGAATTTCTGTACCTTCCCCAAAGACACAGCTAGTAAGAAGTAGAGTGCCAAGAGCTCATAACCTGCACTCAGCTGCCTCTTGAATACAAACCTAGAGAGTTGTTACTTAGTTTTGTGCTTCAGATCTTTGATAGCATCATAGTATAATTTCATGGTGAAGTTATTTCTATAGCCCAGATTCATATTTGTCTCATGATGACTATTAATTAATCCTGTAAGTGTGGATTTTGTGGTTTAATTATCAAAGGGCCATTTTATTTGTTTATTCCCAGATTTCTTATGATGGAGGCACATATCACTTTTTGTCCTCCAAGTTCTTTGTACCTTGTATATTTTGTGTTTTCTTTTTCTC